CGTTGCCTTGACCATATCTTCACTAATCTTATTAGGGAAGGTACCACGGGTAATACCATCAGCGGAATTCCACGTAGTAGCCACATGACGTAGAACGACCGAATGATTCATCATAAAGCCACGCATCGACTGAATAGTCTTGCGTTCCCACGCCTTCATATCAGTCGCCTGGTCTTCTTTGTGGACTCTGTAACAATTGATTTGAGAATCACTCAGTATGAGAGCTTCACATTGATCTCTCATACTCTCATCAACTGTTTTCCACACATTTATAAGAAGGCCTCTACCATAAATAAGAGAAAGTAGCTCCTTCCGCGGAATAGTCCACTTATCCCTCTTTGGCTGAGGGAAAAGACCACCTTTAGCGCAAACTCTAGTCCCACTTGGAGTTCTAATATCCACCCCCCAAGTGCTTTGGCTAGCATCAACATAGACAAGCAACTTCTTACAGTCAATCTTTCTGGGAACCTTGGTCTCGAGGACAGCCTTCTTAACCAAGGCCAACCACTTACTAGTAAGAACACATAGGTCATCTGGTAGTCTAGTATCCCACGCATACTGGGAAGCTCTCTGTACCAGATACCTTCCTTGTATGTCTAGCTCAATTACCAATCCTAACGGATCGTATAACGAGTTAGTCATAGACAACAGTTCTCTCCTTGTAGTGGGTGGCTTGTCAGGAGGCTTAAAAGATACACCACTCGTATCTCCTCTTGCCCCATGCCACGGAACTCCCAATATACTAGCAGGATCATCTTGATAGTGAAAGACCGTTTTTGAAGTTGCCACCGGAAAGCCATCTTCAACGCAGCGAGCCACCAATAATCGTTGCTGGACATGGATATCAACACCATCCTTGACCAACATAAGCAGATCATCCATATAAGGCAAAACCTTACCCACAAAGTGTGGGTCTTCAGAGGCTCGTCGCAATACTTCTTTCACATTGGCCGTAAGCCATGAAGGACTCATGGCCAGGCCAAACGGAAGAACGTTGAAGACGTAACTGGTACCATCCCAATATATACCTAGGTAAGGCTGATCTTCCTTCCGCATTTGAATACGGAGGAAAGCCTTGTTTAGGTCCATAGTTACCCACTTATCACTTTGTCTCCACTGAGTGACAATATCTACTATACGTAACATGTCGCACTCAGTTTCACGGAGATAAGGATCTAGAGATTGTCCGTTTATCACGGGTCGCACAGGAGTAGTAGGATGACCCACCCTTATCACAGGGTGATGAAACAAAAAATGCTTCACCTCCTCATTGTCGACAGGACGGATAAACCCATTGTCAAGCCATTGCTTGAACTGGTCACTATAAGCATCCACCAGTTCTTGGCCACCTCTTCTCTTTAGCGAATACTCCAACCTCTTAGCTCTCTTGACCGCAGCCTTGAAAGCCTTGTGGGGCCTTTGGGACGATCTCCATTCCAATGATGCCATCCTACCCTCATAGGTTTTGGACTCATAGACCTTAGTGGCATTAATCTCATCGGCGACATCAGCC